AGCCTCTAAACAGCCTCTTTATCCTTGGCAGCCAATAAGCCATCCATATATTGGAGCAGGGTAGACTTTGGGTACTCACTGCCAAAACAGACTAAGTCCTGGTTAAGGTCCTCATCAAAGATGCAAAGATGGTGGAGGAAATCTTGACTCCCTGAGGCAATCGAGTCCAAGTCAGTTGTCCCTGTGTTCCCAGTCCAGGATTGGCCCATTCAAATGCAAGGATGGGGTGACTTCATTTTGACAGAGGAATGGCTGGGAAATGCACCTTTTAAACCCATCAGAGAATTGAAATTCTATGCTTGTGGTCACATGCTGGGCAGAGTACAGGGATCAGGGACAACTGGGTGAATAATTTCTATCCGCTTGTTCAGTCCTTAAATCCTGTGCAGGTCTGCAGTCTTGGGTTCCTGGCTTTTGTACCAGTGATAAAGGAGTGTTCCAGGCCAAATGGCATGAATTGAGGATGCCCACCTCGGGGAGGCATCTAATGAAGGCACTGACCCATTCCCTGGCTTCTGAACTAACAGGGTAATGTTTAACCCAGATGGGCAAAACCCTCCAAGTCAGTTGTACTATTACCTAGGGCACATGCTTTGCCAGACCAGGAGAATTATCTTCAGCCCAGACAGTAAGAACATCTTTTATCAATCTTTCCTTTAGTTCTTCCTCTGGGTCTTGGGTTGGGCCTTGGAGGAAGAGATATCCCTTAGCTTAAGGGACAGGTGAGAGACATGACCACCCTCTCTGGCTTCCACAGGAACCAGGTGGCACATGGTGTACATACTGACATGCAGATAAAGCACTCACTCACACACAAACAGACACAGACACACACACACAAATAAATAAATAAATAAATAAATAAATAAATAAATAAATAAATAAATAAATAAATGTTAAAGAAAAACAAGCAGCAGCAGCAGGAGCCCACAGCCATGCTGGAGGGGATGAACTCGTCCAGTTACTACAGACAGCAGCACAGAATGTGGTAGTTTGAATGAGACCAGACCCCAGAAGTTCATGGGAGTGGCACTATTAAGAGGCGTGGCCTTATTGGAGGAAGTGTGTCACTGGGGTTGGGCTTTGAGCTTTCAGAAGCTCCAGCCAAGCCCAGGGACTCTCTCTGCCTGCTCCCTGAGGATCCATATGTAAAATCTCAGCTCCTCCCCAGCACCACGTCTGCCTGCATGCTGCCATGCTTCTCGCCATGATGACAATGGACTAAACCTCTGAACTGTAGGCCAGCCAATAGTTGGTAGCTTCTCCAGCTTTGATCTGGAAGTGCTACCCCCATTGATGCTTCCCATAACTGTCACTTCTAGGAGATGGGACCAAGACAGGAGCCCTTAAGACCTGAGATCCGGATGTGCCGACTCTCTCGGTTCCTGGACCCTGGATACTGGAGGTAGACTGAGCAGAGTTCTCTAGAGAACATTGCTGGACTGCACTTCATCTCTCCCGAGCCCTGTAACCTATCCCTTCACTTGTAACTTACCCCACAAAGTAACCCTCCCTTTTAACTACATGGAGTTGCCTTAATACTTCTGCCAATACCAGCCCCAAGTGAATGTTTCCTTCAGAAGAGTTGTCCTGGTTGTGGTGTCTATTCACAGCAATAGAACCCTAACTATAACAAAGGGGTTTTTCAAAAAAAAAAAAAAAAGTCACTCCATTCTCCAACTCTGCTCCTGCAGTCCTGGGTGTTTACCCGGAGCACTGAAAGTTATTGTAGAGACACCTGCACACCTTTGCTTACCAAGGCACAGACACAGTGCTGAGTTATGGAAGCAACCTAGGTATCCAATAATGGAGGAATGCACGCACGCACAGCACACACACACACACACACACACACACACACACACACACAATGAAATTTCCAACTACTAAGAAAAGCAGAATTTTGTCATTTACAGGAAAATGGATGCAACTGAAGGTCATCCTCTTAAGCACCAAATTAAGCCTCAGAAAGACAACATCACATGCCTCTTCCCGTTTATGGATCCCAGATTTAATAGAGATGTAGATGAGCACACAGGACATGAAGGAGGAGTGAAGGTGACTGGGAAGAGAGGGACGACGGGGTGGGACTAGACAGAGGCGGGGAATGTCGGGGGAATGTGCTCCACTTGCAATAGATATCAATATAATTTTTTTAAAATTTAAACAAAACAGTACACCTTGATTCCTCTAAAGTACTCTACGGGGCTGCCCTGTGCACTGGAAAGCTGCCATTCTGACCTGCAGGGACAATGATGGCTTTCTAGTTCCCAATGTGTCAGCCTGTGATGACTTAAAAATGTTTCCTGCCATTATGGAAAACCTAGCCAAGAATTAGCTGCAGTGTTGTTTTGTTTTGTTTTGTTTTGTTTTGTTTTGTTTTGTTTCATATAAGCAGCGGACCATCAGGTCCCCCCTCATTCCTTAGATTTCGTTCTACACTAGCTGTAAGGCTTATTTCATTTGCAGAGAAATGTTATAAACTCCATGAAGAACAAATGGTCAGGGCAGATCTCATTTCTCGAAGTAAGATGGAGCCTCAGAAAGTTAAGGCTAGAGAAGCAGATGTGAAAGGTCAGACCTAATCACATGGCCAACTGAACAGTTCCTGGCTGCCAGGTGAGTAGCTTCCAAGAACCTCAGAGCTGTTGGCAAAGTCCAGCATTTTCCTTTCCAGGTGAGTCCAACCATAACCTTCTAAAAGTCCTTCAAGACAAAGTGCTGAGCTTGGACCCAGGGGTCCTCTGGGTCTCTATAAGCTGGCCTCACCTTTCTCCCTTGGCTTAACTGCCTATCAACACATTCCACATTCTGACTGTTATAAACTATCCCGTTTCTCTTGTGGTAAGCCATTATAAAAACTGAATATGTGCAGTGGCAACACGTGAACCATCCCTGGTTTAACACTCCCCAATAAAGGCGATTGGCCATTTCCAGGACTAAGATGTCTCTCTGCCAAATGGACACTTCATCCATCATTAACTCAGACTTGTTTGTCTCGTTTGCGCTGATCCTCTACTGAGTTGTGCCAAGAGCAGTGCCCAAAACTGCTCCAGTGCCGGGGCCAAAGGTCCCCAGGCACACGATGCTACAGTCTCTCAAGTCCAAGAACATCTTAGTAGCCGGGAGTCGGCTGAGGTAGTTCTTCTGGAAGGTGTCTCTCACTGTCCACTCAACTATGTCGTCTCGCAATCAGGTAGCTCTGGTGACCGGGGGTAACAGGGGCATCGGCTTCGCCATCACGCGTGACCTCTGTCGGAAGTTCTCGGGGGACGTGGTGCTCACGGCACGGGACGAGGCGCCGGGCCAGGCGGCGGTTCAGCAGCTGCAGGCGGAGGGCCTGAGCCCGCGCTTCCACCAGCTGGACATCGATGACCCGCAGAGCATCCGCGCCCTGCGCGACTTTCTGCTTGAGGAGTACGGGGGACTGGACGTGCTGGTCAACAACGCAGGCATTAGCACCTGGCCCAAGAATAAGCCACCAAGAAGAGATGACTTCTTCAAGGACACCCAGCAAGGTCTGTCTGCTCTTGGCCTGGCAGTGCAGCGGGATGGGGGGGGGAGCACCTTTGGCTTGTGGAGGTCTCAAGAGGTTCCTCGAGAGGAGCAAGAACAAATAAATATTCCAGTGTTATAGGGTGCCTGAGGAGAAAAATCCCTGAGAGGCCTGAGTAAGTTGAATGAAGTCTTTGTTCAGTTCTGGCAGGACAGTCTCCAGCAAATTAGTGGGAAGTAAACCCAATGGCCGGGTGGTTTGCATTTTTAAGGGCAAACAATGCAATCTGACTTTTATATGGAGTTCTGGACACATGCAACAGTCAAGTTGCTCACAAAGGAAGAGAAAACAGTTCAACAGTCAGGCAGTTAAACTTTAGCTCAGGGTGACACTGGATAGGAGTTTAGGGCTGGTCCAGGGACCAATTTTAACCAAGATAATTTTACCCAAGATGGCGTACTTGTATAGTTCTGGTATAGTAGGCTAATATATAGAAGGTTCCACTCAGAGGACCTTACAGCCAGCTATCTGGCTTGACTCTGGGGTCCTTTGCAGGTTTATGTCAAGGAGATGTCTGTGATTGGATCTTAAGGCCACCTGGGTTTAGTTCTAACTGATTTGGACATAAGCAAGAAATGAGGAGGTGTCTTTTGCACCAAGATCCCTTGTAGGATGCCTTCACCTCAGCACCAGGAGTGATGCCATGTGATAAAATACAGGATTACCAAA